AGTGAAGTGGAGAAATTGGTAGGGGTTTTGACTAAGAAAAGAAGAGGGAGAAAGATGGAGAAAAGATTAAAATTCATAGCACATTTTCACAAAATAATTTGAATTTATTCAACATGTAACATATTGAAATGATGGATGGAAGAAGATATACTTTACTTGTAAGGAAGCCTTTGATTTCCTTGCTTAAGTGAAGTTGTATTTTCTTGATCTCCTCAGTGAAGAGAGGGATAATATGAAGGATGGGGTTTCGTAGTGTCGAGTGAATAGATCAATCTGAGAAATATGTATGCAAGTTATTGATGATGAATGTTTAGAAGTTCAGTTCATATAATGTCAAATAATATGCAAAGTCAAGCTCACTTTATAAGTTAGTGATACTTGAAAGACATAACAACTCTATCTATGCAATGAGTAATGGCTTAAAAATAAGGAATAAATGCAATATGGAATGCATATGCCTAATTTAATATTTTTATGGCTATTCCTAAAAATCAAAGTTGTTTCTACCCATTTTTATTTAATCTCAATTTTTTTTATTTAATAGGCATGATGTTTCTATAGATTAAATGCAATATTTTCTATTTTTTGTTTCAATTTTGAGATTTCTTTAATCTTCAAAAATTGTGTTGAAATTGTTATATTTGGGGTAAAAAATTTAGTACTTAGTGAGCTTAACGATAATTTTGGAAGAAAATATTAAGTTAAGCTTCCACAAAAAAATTTGTCAGACTTATTAAGTACAAACATCAAAATAACGAAAATGACAAAGAAGGTAGCAGCTTTAGACCAGCGTCAGAGTCGAAAAAAAAAATTTCATCTGAACATCATTGTTGGTTTAGTTGAGGTTTATCCTTCACTTATGTTCATCTTCCCTTGGATTATTTGGATGACTAAATATGGTAGGCACTCTAACTCTAGAAAGAGAAATGATAGTGCAAGGAAAAGAAACCAATAGTGACCTAGATTTACTACAACAAACATACAAAATAAAGTTAATACATCTTCAGTTTTTCATCATTATCTTGAAACATGTAAATAAAAAAAACTACAAAAAATCTTGGTTAACTTATCACAAAAGTACAATGCATAAAAAAGATTTAAGTTAATTTGCTTGTTTTAACCAAATTTTACAAAGCAAAAAAGTACAATATTCAAAACACAACATAATAGAAACGATCTTACCTGCCTTATCCTAATACTTTGGTTAAAGCTTTATGACATCTAAAATATATATTATTAATTTGTGGGGAGAAAATGATGACTGATACCACTTCAAGGTGCACTCACACACCGGGGGCTCGCTCAGGTGTATGTATCATATCAATAATATTAGATTTTTTTTATTCTGGAATGTCGATCCCACAAGGCATGAGGAAATTAAGCTTAGGAAAAACCTTTAGCCTGCTAGTTTTTGTTCTTAGCCTAGAATTAAGATTAGGTTTAAGTTCTACAACTACTCATACGGATTTGCAACCTATTTTAAATATTAGAACCTACAAGAATCCTATTTATCATATATGGATTGGCGAATATCAAGTTATAAAGTTTCCCTCTCTTGTAATGAATTGAGTGGTGCATAGGAAATGTAAAATGCTAATTGTAAATGTGGTTAGTGATAAATAGAAGTAACTCTCTTCTTTACCCTCCCCTAAGTGCATACAAAAAATTGGTTATAAAGTAAATAAACTATGTTTCTCCTTCCTCAACAATTGTGAATGTTTTATATGTAAGCTCAGATTAAACAGTTGATTAAATATATCAAATCAAATTTATTTTGCTGAGGGCAAATAAATTTAAGCTTTAATTGATTAGTCCCCCCCCCCCCCCCCATTAAATATAAACATATTGAGCAATTTAAAACATAAATATAAATGGGAAGAAAATAATACTAAAATACTCTAACTACATGTTTCGATTAATATAAGTAACAAGTATCATAGTAAAGAGCACGTAGTAAGTAGCAAGTACATCTGATCTGAACATAAATATGAATGAAAATGAGGCCAACATGCTTGAATATTACAACTAGAATATAAGGAGTCCACAACACAATAAGAACTGATTTAATAAAAATACATCAGTAACAGCAATAGGGGTTAACAATATCAACCACATAGTAGCATCAACAAGAAATTAAAAAAAAATTAATATCCAGTATAGTAGCAGTAGAAAATACATATAATATCCAATACATATACATGTAAAAAATAAAAACTACTTCTTAGTTTTCATCATCATCATCCTCATCATTGTCTTATGTTTCTTCATCATCTTCTTCTTCTTCAGCCTCCCCATACTTATGCATCAACTAACTACATGCATAAGGCTGGTAAGGAGAATATACAAGAAACCCCACTAAATTATCACCTCCTATCTACTGGTTTTTCCTATACATCTCTAATTATGCAGCTTGAAAACTAGGAAAGTGATTGTTTTGGCATTTATTTTTTTAATCCATATGTGATGTGTGATCCACTAGGTTGTATATCATCGTTTGAATAAAAAATATGTCATCTTCCATCTTTCCCAATCTTTCTGAAATAGAAGCTGGATTAACAAAAGAGTGAGGCTGTGAGTAATAGGTAGAAAACTGAGTAGAGCTGGCTCCACTCCAAAAAATGACATGATTATTGATCCGCCCCAGCAATTATCACAATAATGTAAGTCCCGGTAATAGCACCATAAACTTGCTCCACTCTCTAACAAATTAATTAATTTCTTAAAATTAGGTACTATTACTCACTGGGACTTCTCAAGCAAGTATACGTATAATTTCAATGATGTATGACTCTATTAAGTCTGGATTGTCAATCCCACAGGGAAGTAGTTAACGAGTCCTTAAGGTGAAGTTCTAGTCTACTACTCTAAGGTTTTAGTTTGGAATGCAAATTTAAATTATTTTATTAACAATTACTCCTAAACTACAACACTAAGACTAAAGCTAAACTATCTATGTCAATTGGTTTAGTGAATTTCAAGATATGAAAACTAATTTTCTCTTGTGATTGCCTAAGTTGATTGTAGGATCAAATACTAAGATTTGTTATTATGGCTAGTGACAAATAAGATCTTATCTCTTGTTTACCCTCTTCTGAGTGTGTGAAGAAGTTTGGTTTAACTTGGTAAGTGTTTCTGTCTGTCACCCTAGAAACCCCCAAGTTATACCCATCAAAACCTATCTCCCTATCTATTTGCATTGCTATGTGGACTGCTTTTCCTTCACCCAGTAGTTCAATGTGATCTTCTCAGTTGTTTATGTTATAGCTCTTCCGCGTTTCTATGGGTTCACCATAAACCAATTTAATCGTGACAGATGAAAGAGAGGGGCTTGAGAATTTTTTATAATAAAAAAAAACCATTTGTCTGATTAAAAAGATTTGAATGACAAAATTGTAAATAATAATTTTTGAGTATTAAATATGCAAATACCAAAAATTTAGATGATAGGTACGTAAAAAACACTTGACAGCAACAACACTTTACATTCTGAGTTTCAAGGCATATAGTTTGAGAGGAATTCCATAGATTTAGGGATATTAATGAATCAAAAGAGGTCATATTACTAAAACTTGTTGTGAAAGAGAAAAATTAAAATTTAAAGATGATATTCTTGATAGCATAAAAAATCTGTATCTTTTACAAGACATGAACCACATTTTCTCTTTTGATTTTCTACACTTCTGCTTTGCTTCCAGGTTTCTTAGTAATGGTTTGGAATTTTTATGTCATCATCTGCATTGTTTCCTCCCAACTCTGCAAAAGATTTTATTTAATGATGACATATATTTTGGCATTGTTTTATACGCTTAATCTAGGTGATTTTGCAACCCCTCTTTTACTTTTGAGCCCTTAAATATATTTCACTTTCTGGGTTAACTTGGGTAGTGTTGTGATTTGCTTGCAAATGATCTCTACATAGGGCCATATGATGGATCCAGTTTTAAGCGGAATTAATCTAAAGTTTGCAGGGAACTCCACCAAATGTTTGGGAACTCAATCAGATGTTATGGCTCGTGGATGAAATTCCTACATCATGTATGGTTTTTTTTTTTTTTTTTTTTTTTTTTTTACTTTTTGGAATAGATTTGTGATAATTATAAGTCAATAATACCAACACAGGGCTCAACTGATTAACTCATGATCATGATATCTTTAATATCCTCCTTTCATGCTCTTCATTTTCCTTAGAATTTTCTCCTTTTCTGCTGTGTCTGAGTACCTCACAGAAACCGTTTTGATCTTCACACTGGTAGATGATATTGATCATATATTGTTCATCCTAATAGGCTCGATGGAGCCACAACTTCGAATACCTTGTACTTTTTAAGCTTTTTTTTTTTCATTTTTTAACTTTTGTTTTGATGCTGCTTGCCTTTTATTTTATCCATGTAGCCCCTTTCTTTTTGAAATCTTTTGTTAATATTAAAAAGCAAAAATTTCATAATAAAAGAATATGCGGTTTCATAACACTTACGGATAGGGCTGTCAATTTGACTCGTTGTTCGTGAACAGCTCGTGTTCGGCTCGTTCGTTAAGCTTAACAAGCCGAACACAAACAAATTTTTAAGCTCGACATGTAAACGAGCCGAACACGAACAACAGTTTGTTCGTTTGTTCGTTCGTGTTCGGCTCAATAAAAAAATTATATAACTTTTTATATAACAATATATTACATATATTATTTATATAATAATATATTATATATATTTATGTCTAAGTTTAAATCATAACATCTCATGTGACAATGTGATTAGCGTTTTTTTTTTATATATATTTAATCCAGATTCGAATCCAACACTTTACATCTATTTTTCTCAATTTTAATTTAGCGAGCCAAATTCGAGCTGAACACAAACACGAATATTTAAATCGAGCCGAACACGAACACACTGTTCACGAGCCGATTTCGAATAAGAGTCAATTTCGAACACGAGCCAAATTTGAGCTCGCTCAAGCTGAGCTCGTTTACAGCCCTACTTACGGAACAGCACTCCACGGTCAGGTGATTTCATCTGCTATGGCAACTGTTTTAAGCTAAAAAAGTTGAGTTCTGCCGCTCCGATTACCGGCACGCCTCCCATGAAGAAAACGGTAAAAGTATCTCCTTTCCGGCTCACCTCCCTCCTCCGCCTCGAGAAAAACCCTACACTCGCACTCAAGCTCTTTCGATGCCCGAACCCTGAATCGAATCCCCATCCTTCGGTTAAGCCCTTCCGGTACAGTGCTCGATCCTTTGACATCATCATCTGCAGGCTCGCACAAGCGCGAATGTTCACCGAGATGGAGCAAATCCTCGATCAAATGGCGAACCAGACCCGTTTCACTCCTAAAGAAGCCCTCTTTTGTAGGATCATCTCCTTCTACGGCCACGCTCGCATGCCGGGCGCATCCCTTCGCATTTTCCATCAAATCCCTTCCTTCCTCTGTCTCCAAACGATCCGCTCCTTCAATACCCTCCTCGACGTGCTGCTCCGCCATGGAGAGATCGATGCACTCCAAGCTCTCTGTAATAACCTTGACGCTACCCAATTTTCACCTGACCCTTGTACCTACAACATTCTCATCCGTGCCCACGCTGCCTTGGGGTCAATCCACGGCGCCTGTGAACTGTTCGACGAAATGACGAAGGAGGGAATTAGGCCGACCGCCACAACATTTGGAACACTTATCACAGCCCTTACCTCGGCATCAATGCTAGACGAAGCATTTCGTATCAAGGAAGAGATGCTCCGGCGATACAACATAAAGCCGAATGCGTACATATACACATCTCTGGTGAAGGTGCTCTGTAAAAACAATGAACTCGATCACGCAATTAGATTGAAAGATGAGATCGCTTCAGACGCGGAAATAGGGCTTGATGCGGCAATTTACACGACTTTGATCCGTGCATTTTTCAGAGCTGGGAGAAAAGGGGAGGTGGTGAGTGTCTTGGAAGAGATGAAAAAGAAGGGAGTGAAACCGGAGACAGCGACTTACAATGCTATAATTTCGGGGTTCTGTGAGGAGGAAGACTTCAACGCAGCGTTCGAAGGTTTGAGTGAGATGAAGCGAAGAGGATGCAAACCGGATGTGGTGAGCTACAACACCATTGTGATGGGGATGTGCAGAGCGGGTCAGTGGAGTGAAGCGCGCAAATTGTTTGACGATATGCCGAGGCGGGGGTGCCGGCCCGATGTGGTGACGTACCGTGCGCTTCTCGACGGGATGTGTGAGGCTGGGGAAGACGGAGAGATGGCGCTGCTGTTGGAGGAGATGGCATTCAACGGCTACTATCCGGCGGCAATGAGTTTTAGGAAGCTGTTAGAGGCAGTTTTGGAAAAGGGTGGTGTCGGTGTGGGAGAGTTGGTAGATTGGCTCACTTGCGTCAATTAGGAATAAAGTTTGAATTAATTTTGATGTATAGGTAAAAAATTTTTCATAATTAGTTTTTTATTTTTTTCAAGGGAAATTTCGTACTGACCTCCTTAATGCTTCAATAATATAAACTAAGTTACGTGATATTCAATGAAAAAATTATTTATTTTTAATATACTAAATTTATATTTATCTCAAATCAAAATATAAAGAAATAAAATTAAAATAAAAGGTGATTCCAAATGATCCAAATGAACCCATAATTAAAAAATTACTTTCTTAAAAAATTCAAAATGAAGCGTTTTTCATGTTTTCAAAACATGAACTTGAACGAATTGTGTAAATCACCTGTTATAAAAAGTCAAATTACAAAAACTACATAACAACAACAACAAAAACAACAAAAAAGCCTTTATCCCACTATGTGGGGTCCGCTACATGAATCCTTTTTCTCCGGTGCGTCCTATTTGGTGTCATATTTTCATTTAGTTTTAATAAATTAAGATCATTTTTAATACAATAAGCCCAAGTCTTCCTTGGTCTGCCTCTGTCTTTCTTAACATAAGTCGAAACTAAAACATCTACTCTCCTAATCGGATCATCAGATGGTCGACATTTAATATGACCAAACCACCTAAGACAACTCTATCTAATTTTGTTCGTCACTAGAGCTACACCAACCCTATCATGAATATATAAGTTATTCATTTTGCATTTTGTCTCTAAGTGTAAAGCCACTCATCCGCCTAATCATTCTCATCTCGGCAACACTTAGTATTATGCTTCTCTTTTAAAGGCCAACATTCAACGCCATAGAGCATTGCAGGTCTCACCACCATCTTGTAAAATTTTCCTTTTAGTCTAAGTGTTACTTTTCTATCACACAAAAGGCCCGAAGCATTCCTCCACTTCAACCAGCCAACTTGAATTCTACTATTAACATCCCCATCTATATCACTATCATTTTGAACAATAGACCCGGAATATCTAAATCGTCACATCTTTTAATAATTTGATCACCAAAAATTACACTTCTATCACTAGAGCTACTACTAGTAAAATTACATTCCATTTCAGGTTTAGTTCTACTCAAATGAAGACCTTTAGACTCCAATTTAGACCTCCATAATTCAAGTAATTCCTTGGCTTTTTCTCTCGTCTTATCCACAAGAAGGATATCATAAGCAAAAATCATACACCAAGGCACATCCTCTTAAAAATGTTCAGTAAGACCACCCATAACTAAAGCAAAAAAGATATTGGCTTAGAGCCTATCCTTGATGTAATCCAACAGAAATAGGAAAATGATTGTTCAATCCTCCTTCAATTCAAATACAAGTAACACTATTATACATATCATTAATGACTTGAATATAAGTCATAACAACACCTTTCTTTTCAAGAACTCTCCAAAGGATATCTCTATGAACGTTATCACAAGTTTTTTCTAAATCAATAAAAATCAAATGTAGATCCTCCTTATTATATATGAACTTCTCCATCAAACCTCTCAATAAATGTATAACTTCCATAATAGACCTTCTCGACATAAATCCAAATTAATTATGAGAAATCTTTGTAATATGTTTTAACCTATCTTAAATTACCCTTTTTAATAATTTTAAAGTATGACACATCAACTTAATTCCCTAAAATTTACACAGTCTTGTGCATCCCTTTTATTCTTAAAAATGGGGAACAAAATACTCTTCCTCCACTCCTCAGGCATCTTTTTGAGTTGTTAAAATAATATTAAAATGTTTAGTAAAGCCAAGAAACTCCCAAATCTCTTAAAAATTTCCACACTTCAATTGGGATATACACTTCAATTGGGATATCATCAGCTTTACAATAATATTAAAGAGTTTAGTAAGCCGAGAAAGTTTTTTTTAAAGCTTCCTCAACTTCTTTTTTACTATTGTGACGATAAAAATAAAATATTTTATTATTATTAGAGACACTAATATCAATACAGTCGAGCTATGGTCAATCATATTTTCAGAAACTTCGTTGAAAATTTTGACAAAATAACTCACCCACCTATGTTGAATATCTTTTTCTAAGAAAAACACTTTTTTATTTTCATCTTTAATACACTTCACTTGAGTTAAATCATTACTCACTTGAGTTTACTTGAGTTAAATCTATACTTTTCTTATTTCTTTGTTTGGCTAATTTATACATATAATTTTTTTCCTCTTTAGTATCCAATCTGTTATAAAGTTCACTAAAAGCAGAATTTTTAGCGTCACAGATTGTTCTTTTAGACTCCCTGCGGGTTGCTTGATATTTTTCCCAGTTCTTGACAAAAATATGTCAAGGCTATCCATATCCATATCACAAATAGTAATTTCTCATCTACAACAAGTATGGATAGCTTTGACATATTTTTGTGGAGAAAATTAAAATAAGTGGTAAAAATACTATTTCGTTAATGTCTACCACCATTCTCCATTTTTTTCCTTTTTTTTTTCCTTCAAGTGTTGAGTCTAAGAGTCTCATAATGCCTATAAATAACGATTGAAATCATAACTTTGTATTATTTATTTAAATGTTTTGAGTAAGCATTTGTTCTTCCCTTCAGCTTAGTATTTGTTGGCTTAAATTTTACATTTTAATTAGGAATTAAGTTAATAATCATTAGTTCTTTCTTAATTTATATGCTTCTCTTTTGAATTATTGCTCAACTTTTCTTACATCACCACATTTCTTAAATCCTCCAAGACTTGCCACAACTGAACCCTAGCCTTACATAGTTGCATCCACTCCAAAATCCCTCTCATAACCCTTGACCAAGTTATATGAAACAATGATCTAATCTTGTGCTATAATCCTCAACAGCCATTCAAACTTCATCAAACATAACCATCTGCTAACCCTTCATAAGTAATTTTAGTTATTCAACTTACCCCAATTCAATATCCAAAATGATACTTCCATTCGACCAAAAAAATGCTTATTTTATTTATTATATTGCAATGGTACATTTATAGCACCCCAACATCATTCATCCAGTGTCATAGTGTCATATTGATAGTGTCACAATAGTACATTTATAATTTTGCAATGTTAAATGATAAATATTGTGGTCTCATTAATCTATTGGTATTTTTTATTTAATTTATAAAAATGCTTATTTTATTTATTATCCTTATTCCATTATAATGTGTTATAATTTGTTGTGATTTTTATTTTTGTAGAGCCATAACTAGTGTCTTAGTGATGTTATATGTATAGGTAGAAGATTTTGAATTAGTTTTATTTGATCCAAAAATTAAATAATAATAATAATAATAATAATAAACTAGATAACTAAAAAAAAAAAAATTGAATGAAGGATATGGCAAACCCATAGATGGAGAATATCCAACCCACAACTCTCAATATTTTTTCAAATCTATTGGTACATAAGATACATCATAGCACCAATAGGTCTATAAATTAGGGTAATAATTTTCAACCAAACATAACATCATCCAAAAGGACTAGAACTCTTAGCTTAAGGGTTTAGAAAAACAAAATTTACACATTACAAGTTTATTAAAAGTTTGTACATAATTGTGTCTCTAACAATGTTATAAGGTGATTGTTTCAATTTTTGGTTTTATGAAAACAAAACAGATCTCAGATATTTAATTATTGGGATAATTACATACAAAGCACAAGCACATTGTTATTTACAAATCAAGCACCTGGTTGATTTTTTGAACTATGAAATCAATGCATTTACGCGTGCCAAGATCAAACCATTGTGAATTTTATAAAAATGAAAGATATGTGTTGGGTTTTTTTCACGACCTTTGATATTTGAGTAAGAATTTGGAAAATGGATGAAGGAGGGTGTTTGATTTGTAGATAACAATGGTTTGGGTGCTCTGTACGTAATCGCCCCTTAATTACTTGATTAATCAAACACATCATCAAAAATAACATAAAAAGTTATAAATATTACTTTAAGAAGGGTTCAATTATTTAAATAAAGGAATTTTTTACAATTTCCTGGATTGGGTTTAAACCACCGTTGTTATTCTACCTAATCCATTAGGTAGACAGAGTTTATAATAATATGGGTAGTTAATTTTCTATAAAGGCAAACTTCTATAGTTTTATACATCTTAAGCATTAGAGTTTTTTTAAGAAAAATCTCGATTAAAGATATGGTTTTATCTTCAAGAAATTTCTAAGTTTAAGATTCCAAGATTATTAAGAACATCAAATGGAAAAGCTTAAAAGTAGAGTAGTTGTTCATGGAACCCAAAGGAGGAACAAGAGAAGATGTTGAAGATACTAAGAGATTCAAACACATCTCAATTATCCTATTATTTATTTTTTTTAATTTCCTAAAGAGAGTTATTTGATGTTCAAATTGACATTTTATTATAATGTTAGGACTTGTATTACAGGATATATGATTATATGAAAATCTAGAAAGTGAGAATTTATGTCGTAACTAGATGAACAATATTGGAATCCTAAGACTACAATGAGCTTTATTCGAGAAAGTGGAGCCTCAGAACCCAGTCTAAAGTGAGAGAATGAATCAAACAATGGACTTATAGTTCAATCATATAAACGATTAAACAGGTTCGACATGCTTGGACTTACAACCCTGCATAGAAATGACTGCCATCTTAACCTATCTAATCACAGTAAGAACATGCATGGCCAACCTCATGAAGTGTATGATATGATAAACTATTATTTATTAGAAGAAATAGGTCTTACAACTTGATTATAAAAATCCAGATGCTTATGTATGAATGGTATGCAAAATATCCTAAAACTATTGAAAATTTATTTTAATAATTTTAAATTTAAAATTATTATTGCTCACTACACTCAAATATTTCATTATTTTTGTTAATTCTCACTGTCGAAAGATAAAGCAAGTTGTGTGTGGGTATGCACTTTTTTGAAGATGAATGCTTAGAAGATCATTTTATGAGGTCATCAATCAGTATGCAGAGGTAAACACACTCCATAAGATGATGATCTTCAAAGGATAAATCACTCTTTTTATACAATGATGAGGGCCTGAAGACAA